CATTTGTATGACTAAAAGCTGTTTGGTGTTTGCCTTCCTAAATTAGGCTTAGATGAGCCGGATAATATTGTTTAGTTTCAGTGTTTCTTGGGCTCCAATTAAAACTATATTTGGTACAACTTGCTGAGAAGTTTTTTGAGATTTTAAAAAATTTAATTGCGTTGAATATTATAATTCGTGAAAAATGTTAAAACTTCTTAAAAGTTAATATGTTATTTATTTCATTGTAAATCTTAAAAGTATCGAATTGATATTTTTACAATAATTTTTCATTTGAGTTTTAATGAAATTAATATATTATTTTTATATTATTTTTATTTTTTTCTATTTACAAAAACAACAATCTTATAATAATTTTTTTCTAACAAAATTTCTATTAAAAAATCCAATTACATGACACGAACAACAAGAGTGGTCTATGGGATTGATCGACGATTGGATGAATAATCTCGCGCTGTGATTGTGAATTTCTTTTGCGCTTACACTTCAACATTAATTAAGGTTGGGATTCTCATGGTAGGAATTTTTCTCTTATTAATAGATAATTATTTACAATTTATATGGGATGGAATACAAAATAGCATTTTGTTTTTTATTTTTAAGGGTTAAGTATCTAAATTTGTTACTTAATTACAAAAATCAGCATGATAATTTCCTTCCTACAAATTTTGTAATAATGATACACTATTTTTGTGCAACGTTTGCTACAATGTGACATGGCGTATTCGTTTAGTTATTTTATAGAAATTTAAAACTTATGGTCTTCTTAAATAAAGTATACAGTTATATGAAATTAAAGAAATAAATACATACATACAAAATTAAATATAAGATACAAAAAGTTAAGAAACTTTATTTTATAATTTAAACTGTATCAAACTGTAAAACATAAATTATTAGATGAAAAAAACATCTCAATATCAAAAGATTTAATCTTCATCTATAATTAATGTAATGTAATTCAGTACAATTTACATTATACTACACTTTTTCAAAAATTTTCAAAAAAATATATGATTGACACAAATAAGAAGACAACACACTTAGATAGTTCAAGAACTGAGAAAATGTATTTATGAATCTTCATACAAGTAGTTTTACCTTTCTCTCTTGGCGGCAAGGAAACCACCAAGGTTCTCTTAAAAAATCCAAGCTTAATTGTTGGATGAAACTACAACAGACAGCTTGGACTGTAAACTATTTTTATTGGCAAAAACCCATCTTAAGGCCCTCAACTTTTTCGACAGCAAGTGATAAGCCCCTGAACAAAAAAAGTGGCAAATAAGCCCTCCAACCCCACGATGGGTGCAAATCAGCCCTTTCGCTAACTGGCTTCCTGACGCCGTTTGT